TTCCGTACTTCTTCCGCAATTTTCCATTATACTTATATTTTCTGTTGTATCACATCACGAGATATATTTTCTGTTATTACATGTATCACAAGTTTATAACACACGGCTTGCACACGGCTTTTTCGGCTTTGCTGCTCGTTCACTTTTGCTGTTCGTTTGATTGAACTTCAATAAGATACGGCAAAATGTATTTTGCGCCGGAAGTGCGTTATCTAAACATTTTTAACCAATAGTAATGAATTGCTGCTACTACACACTGCGTATGAAATGGCACCTTAAATGTATTGCCAAAGTTTCATAATTTTTTGAATTTCCTAGTAGGAGACTTTCCTTGTCAGTTTAGGTTAGCCTGACCTGACATTGACATATGTCACGTATTGTCATTACCCGACGTACAATATCCACATCTTATTGGCATCATGAGGAACGTCGGAAAAATATTTTGCCTCTTCTATGTATTTGTTACATAAGATTTAGATTAGTGAATCTAGCTCGGAATTAGATAAATATTCTAAAATAAGATGAATACTGCAAAAGACGAGGATGATTTTTGGAATAGCAGCGAGAAGCGGTCGTTCTGTTTCGACAGCGAGGTTATGATTGTAAATTGTGAATCTATGGGCGACAAGCAATCTGAAGAATCAAATTGCAGGTGGATCAATTGAAGAGCGACACGGAGAAATTGTGGACCGGCATTTTCAATACATCAAACTTTGAAAGTAGCCTTCAATCTACCAATGATCTTCAAACTACAAAACCTCTGCTTTCAATTATATCTGAAAGGATACTTTTACGCAGTATGCCAAAGATATAAAAAATATTAAAAAAATTTGAAGTGTTTTTTTTAATATTAATGACAAAATTTCAAATGTAAAATCTTTTCAAACATCTTATAGTTTTAGATGCAGATAACAAGTTGGAGGAAGATCAGAAAACAGAAAATAAACATCTAACTGTTGCTCAGCCAGATATTACCTTGAGACAAATATTGCTCGGTCAACCATATTCGTTAGAACAATACAAGTCTCTTGCTAGCAAAACTGCTCTGTTAGACGCTGCTATCTCAAATGGAGATGGAAATGCTATTTTGATAGTATGAACTTAAAATATCTACATATAGTTAAAACGACAAAGATTCTTCTAGCAATATATTAATTATCAAACTAATAAAAATTATGGATCTTATTAGCGTTCCATAATCATTGCAGATAATTTTATTTCTTACAAAGACTTTAAAACGGTCATTAGTACAAAGACTACTAGTGGAGAGACCAGATGCAGTAAATGTGTATATATATTATCTTTTTATAAGGCTGCAAACAAATGAAATAACTGATATTTTAACGTATGTAATGTTTCTATGATATACAATTAATTTTTGAGTTATCTTTCTCATGTTTAATATTTTACAGAATGCTGGGTCATTCCTCAACTGCTGCTGTAAGTATTACTGCAGATGTAAAAGTTAAGTTGCAAATTTCATTGCTATGGTTGATTACAGATGAAGAATCTACATATTATTATAAAAAACACAAAAGATCCAAATAGGCTACTGCAAAAACTTCACAATTGTCACAAGGCACTTTTTACCATGTTATCTGATTGCAAAGAAACTGCATTTCTGGATTCTTATATTAAATTGCTGGGTATGTTTACATTATCTTTCTTTTGCTACTGTGAAAACAATTATTTTAATTATATATTATTTCTAAATTAGAATGGCAAATGGCAATCAAACACAAAAAAAATGATGAGGAACTTCCATTGAATTCTTCTATTCTCGAATCTCTGCGTTATGCATGCAAATACCATTGCAATACGCCGAATGATTTTGTCACGTTATCACCTACAACACTCTCTCGAGACCATGACATTTCTCCTAGACTATATCAGAAAGTTGTTTTACAAGTTAAAGCTGCTTGTGGTGGATGGGATGATATCGATCGTTTACTCTTAACAAAAGTAGCGTATTTTATTTTGTAAGTATATTTATGCATTCCATTATAATTATATTGTATCAATTTTATGTTTAGGGAATACTTGGTAATACGAAATTACAAACGCATTTATATGTAGAAGATATTTTAAAAGTATTGTACAAATATAACGCATCACATGCCGTTCTCGAAAAATATCTAAAATTCATCGACAATCTAGAGAAGCGATTGGAATTGGCAAAAAAACTATCTTGCCATGCAATAGTAATTGATGTACGTAAACATTTTTCTAACAATGAAAGATTATGGATAAGATTAATAATATAAAAAAGAGAGTTACATTTATTTATATTTATATATATATATATATATATATATATATATATATATATACACAGAGAGA